ATTATTTTTAATTTGCTATAGGACACATGCACTCATGAGAGACAGAGAAAATGAAAAGGAAAAGTCACTAGGTCCTGGACTAGAACCACAGTGGACCACATGGGAGTCCAGAGCTTCAACCACGCCACCTGGTGGCTTCCTATTTTCTTTCTTTCATGAGAGTGAGTGAGGAGGGGCACTCTCAACAGGGTTTTGTCATACTGCAATCCCCTTTCTTCAGCCCTCCAGCTAGTCCGAACCTTGGGCAGATGGACTCAGTATATGAACCCACAGATGACCATGTGGCTTCCAGCCCTGCAGAGCAGCACAGTCCCACCTGTACCAACCACAGCTGGGCTGCCTCTCACTTTTCTCTGACAGGTGAGTTCTATGAAGATCAGCAAGTGGATACCTGGCCTCTTGTGTTTCCCATTATTACAATTCAGGCACCTGACAGATCCACGCCCTATGAAAGCTAGAGCCCAATTTAGCACAGGTAACCATGCTGTCCTTCAACTCCAGCACTGTACAAAGTATTCACTCAAGCCAGGAAGCACTTTGTACTAATAAAACTACCTTGTTACTCTGAGATATCTATAAAAATTAAGTATGCACTTACTATGTATCTTATACAAATTACTACATTTAATATATTTTATTAGTTACTATTATTATTCTAATTACAACTATTTATGTATTTAATGTTTCTACCCCTAACTCAAAGCTCTATAGTCTAGTAGGAGAGAACAAGGAACGTACTTATTGCCACACCCTTTAAAAATAATTAAACGAGTAAATGTACAACTACAGCACTTTTTCCTAAAGTTTAAGTTGTCTTCCTTGCTTTGAAGCCTTAAGCTATCATATAGTTTCTAAGTGCTTTATAGCTTTTGCAGTTCTTCATTCAATCCACACAGCAATCCCACAATTGTGCCACAGTAAAACTGGCACAGTTAATACTTGCCCGAGGTCACATTTCAGCTCACAATGATGGCACCAGCACAAGAACTGAGTTGTCTGACTCCCCAAGGCCAGTGTGCTCCTACTGCCACATCCTCCCTTCCCTTCTAATGGGCAGTCCAAAAAGTCATGATGTATTTTTTCTTTTTTTTTTTTTAAATTTATTTAACTTTATTTATTATTATTATTTTCACATGAGTTTTGCCAGAGAAAGAGAGAGAGAGAGAGAGAGAGAGAAGCCACCAGGTCCGGGACTAGAACCGTGGTCGGCCATGTGGGAATTCCAGCACCTTAACCACCACACCACTTGCTGGCCCCAGTGATGTATTTTTTTCTATGCGAAAATGTGTCGTGACTTTTCCAAAGACCCAATATGACCATCAGCTGCAAAGGAGCTTCTAAAATGTGAAGTTTAACTTTTGTATTACTTATTTTCTAATCATGGTAAAATGTCTGAGCCAAAGAAATCTAGAAACAAGTATTTAGAAAACATTAACTATGAAAAAAATGTCAGCAAATACTGTACATTCAAAATGGGAAAACTTCAAAACGTGTTGTCATCATTAGCTCTAAAAAACAGAAAACATTCTACAACTCTAGCTTCTTCCATACGTATTCACTCTTGATGCAAAGTCAGAGGGTCCTCCAGGCCATCACATCCTGCCTTTGTATAAACTGAAAAGGTCCAAGTCAGTTGGTTTGATCTTCCTTGGCTCCTCTCACCCCAGGACCACCACTCCCTGAAGACAGCACATTCATTAAGCAAGCAAGACTGGGCTGGGCTTTTCACTCTGTATGGTCTCACAAGTAAAGGAAGGAATTAGGAAGAAAAATAGATGGGACCAGCACATGGTATAGTGATTGAGGCACTGGATTCCCCCTATGGCTGACCACAGTTCAAGTCCCAGACCTTTTCTCACTCCCCCCTCTCTCCATATCTCTCTCTGGTCAAATTAAAAAATAATAATTCAAAATTTTAATAAATATTTCTTTTAAAAAAGAAACCCTTAAAAAAAAAAGGAAGGAAAAGAGATAACTGTTAACTGCTTAGCACATACTTTTACATATTTGAAAGGCTTTTTCTACTGTCAATTCATCCCACATTTTAATTCATTTTCATTTTAAGTATCTGCTGTGTCCTAGATTTGTCATAAACCCTGCTAGGGCTTTCTCCTGTGGTATATCCTTGGTGTTAAATGTTATTTTAGATATGGAAGATACAAAAACGAATGAGAGGTGGGGGAAAAAGCCTGCCTATGTGGCTGCTACCAAAACAAACACAAATTACTAAAAGTAAGGCAATATAAATGCTACATAAATGCATGAAGTGTAGTTAAAAAAAAAAAAGTGAATAGTTAGGAAAGTTGAAAAAGCCTTTATGATGAATGAGCCTTGAAAAATGAAGAGGATTCAGTTCAGCAAAAGAAACAATCTGTACACAAATACAGAGACGTGGTATGAAGGTCAAGGTGGCTGGATCCTACATGGCTGACTTTGAGGTTCAAGTCCTAGACCCGGCAGCTTAAAAATCACTCAGGGCTCATGCGTGTACATGCATGCCCAGAATTCCAAGAGGAGACTGGAGAAAGGACTGCAGCCACCCTCCCCTCCCCCCAAGAGTGGTTTCTCTCTCTCTCTCCTGTCCCCCTCTCAAGTGTGTGCACACACTCTATCTCTCCCCCCGCCTCTTGTGAGCACAGGCACCCTATGGCAAAAACCTAATAAAACAGTCACTGCACCAATCTAGGCAAGTCAGCCAAGGCCTAAGAATGGCAGAAATTGGGCCAACAGGGGAAAATGAATACACACTGACAACGGGAAGGTCCAAACCAGGAGTTCTTGTGAATGGATAAAAGTCAGAATCACTGTGGGCCTTTCCAAATTAAAAAGCCTACCAAAGATGCTTGAATTAATCTCCACCAAACTGGGTGTGTAAACTTCTTTGAGACTCTGCCATAGTGACTAGAAGAAATGTGTTGGGGCTTTTTTCAGACAAGGTTGGAAGAGAAAGATAAAACAGCACTAAGGATAACTAACATTTCTTGTCGAATATTAAGAAAGATGACAAAGTCATTACCCATGTTAATAACTAAAGAAGTAGTCTTTTTGTTATCATCACTTTTTCCTAGAGTGAGGCCTACAGTTTCTTTTGCAATTAATTTTTTGTTTTGTTTGTTTTAAAGGACTGCCATATTAAGCTCCAGGACTTACTTTGAAATATGAACCTGATCCTCAAAAGATATGTCAATCACTGTTGAAGACACAAGATCTGGGATACTCTGGCAACAGATAAATTTCTAGGCATAGGTCATTTCACAGCCAGAAAAGCAAAAACAGAATCCAACTTCAGTTTCAAAATAAAATCAGCCTAGAAGGGGTAGAGGGATATGATAAGCAGAAAAAAAGATGATGAAATTAGAACCCCCAGTCTGAGGCCAATAGTTGTGTCCATACACACAAATCACCAAATGATCAGTGCAGCAATGACCGCAGCTGAAGGCTACACAACCATGAAATAAAATGTAAGAAAAAAAGACACCGAAGTAGCAAATCATAATGACAACTACATGGGAAGTGAGACAGTAACAACTACAAAGCCTATACCAGAAGGGGAAGAAAAAAAAAAAAAAAAAAAGAGTACAGCAAGACCCCAAGAAGACCTCCATCCATTTAGCTTACTGTGCAGATTCCTCCCCTGTAGGCACGTTTGCTCCAGATAATCACAAGGCTGTGGGACAGATTCACACACATTGTCATCCAGTTATTCAAAGGAAGACACAACAAAATAAGTTTACAAAAAAGATGAGAGGCAGAATGGGATTTGGAACACCGATTAAGTAGCCAATTATCTTAGACTGCAAATACTCCATCCTATTTTGAAACTTTGTGCCCAAATTTTACTTAAAAAAGGAAACAAAACACAAAGCAAGAGAAGATGGGATAGTCTGTAATTAGGATGGGGGGGGGAATACGTGGAAAGGAGCCTTAGTAGCAAAAAAAAATATGAAGTTACTAGGTGTCTCAACTTCTAATTTGTACTGACTGCAACTACAGCAGGAAGTACACTCCTTGGTATGTATGAAAACTTAGTACATTTCAAAACATTTAACTTTTTTTTTTTTCATTTTGGAGTGGCAATAGAGAACAGTAACTGGCAAAGCTGTTGCTCAGGCCTAGTTCTGCCTCCAGTGACTATAAGCTTAACCAAGTTGGAACTGCTCTTTAGTAAGATGATTTTACTTTCATGAGCCCATTCCAGAGATCTTCTTCCTTTTATAACTGTTTATTTTAGCACACGGTCAGGCGTTAGTCAACGTTCAATAGGTGCTACCATCCTTCCAGAAGACTTCATTACCTATTCTGTGGGTAAATCACTATCTTCATAAGGACTTAATTTCTCCACCTGCAAAACCAGAATGACGCCTTACAGGGTTGTTTGTGAACAGGATGGTTAATGTAAAGTGCTTTGTAAACCAAATAATGTGATACCAAACGTAAAGGGTAACCGCTTTTAGGCTACCAATTAGGATTCCCATGTTATCCGCTAAACGAACTGAAGGAACCCAACACTTACTCCAAGCTCTACCACCACCCCATACAGCTGTCAACATACCCTTCAAAAGTCCACCACCTTCCCATACAACCTTAATCTTCTCACGTTCAGGCAATTGGAAAGGAAGCTACCAATGTTTGACCGGCAAAAGAACAACAAAAAACGTCTCGCCCAAGGTCAAAACATCAAAGCAAAAAAAGAAAGCCAGGCCTGCCCGCAGCTGAGGCCACGGCTCCCTTCCTCCTCACCGCCCAAAAGAAACCCCCTCCCCGGACCACAGGGAGCAGTAAGGGCGCCCTGGCCTCCGCCGTGCACATTCGGCGGCGACCCCGTCGTGCCCAAGGCTGCAGCCCCTAGCACCCGAGCTCGGCCCCGCCGGCACCCACTTCTAGCGGACCCCTTGTCCCACCCCCAAGGCCCGGACCCCGCGGAGGACCCCAGAAGGCAAAGTTTCCCACACAGCGGAGCCCCCGCCCGCGCTCCCTGCCACGTCTGCGGCCTCACGCACTATGGCGCTTCCGACCGGGACCCCAGCCGCCGCCACTGCCCCTGCTGCTGCCGGGCGGCCC